TCTTGCTTGGGGGAGTGATGAATGACTTGGATTTTATTAAAGTAACATCGCCAGTATAAATGCTATTAAACATTTTTTACAGAGAACTTATATGACTGGGGAAGCAGGTGGAGAAGCATATGCAAATGGTTGTCTTTGCATTTGGTTTTGGACCTGTTGTCGGTCCGCTGGGCGGGCAATTGGGCAGGAAAGCTGGGTGTGAGTTGATGGAGAGGAAGGACAAACTAGGACCCAGGACACAAACTGGGTCTCTCACCATGTCTGTCTCTCACTGCCTTCAATCTTAACGACACTGGGAGATCTGCAGAAGAAGACGGTGCTCTTGGCCACGGAGCTGAACTTGGCCCAGGGTTCGGAGTAGATGAAGGCAGATATGTGGTGGGAACTACAGGAGCGGAGGGCCCGGTTTCTGCCCCAAGCTAACAAGGGGATTCAGCCAATGCATGACAAGCTGTGAGGGTGTGTGTGCCTCCCCCACCCCTGTGTATTGTACACTGCCCTGAGCAGAAAGAATAGTTGCAACTTCCTCTTTACCTTTGACATCTCATGCAAATTTCTCTTGTGTTTAACCCTTATTCTGAAACACACACACACACACACACACACACACACACAAACCTAGTCCCAACCTACTTGAGTTGACTTTGAAAAAAGCTTCCAGATGAGTCAGTTCGTGCTCTGCAGAAGCATGGGCCGTCAGGGGAAAGGAAGCCAAAGGTCTAGTAGCTTTCGGGTTGACTCGGATGGCATGGAAGTCATTAGCTCATTCATAATTATCTCAGTTCTTTCTACCCCGGCAGACGCACGGTAGATAGACATCCCTTCCTCCTTGATGTTAGATGTGGCCATGGGACTTGTATGGGCTGAGAAACAATGAAATGTGGAAGTAGGAGATTGCTTCTGCATGGAAACTTTAAGAACCATTGCCTGCTCTGTCACTTATCTTTTTGTCATGGCGACCTGCAGTGATCTCAATGGTAGCAGCTTTATCAACCTGAGTCCCTGAGGCAGGAAGCTGATGATGCCGAGCAGAACCCGCATCATCTTCCAATGGACCGGCAGCATTGGGACCACGGCATGCCTCAGCCCCTCCGGGCCCACAGAGAAGCAGTGCAGCCCTGGAAGAGGGGCATTTTTCGAGCGAGCAGCTCTCCCCTCAGAAGAGCTCCGGCTGCGGCTTTCACCTCTGCGTTCCTCAGGCTGTAGATGACGGGGTTCAGGGAGGGCGTCGCGAGCCCGTAGAACAAGGCAATAAGCTTGTCTGAGTCAGGGTCCTTGGCCTTGGGCCTGAAGTACATGAAGGAGATGGTCCCATAGAAAATCACCACCACGGCGAGGTGGGCGGAGCAGGTGGAGAAAGCTTTGCGCCGGCCTGCAGCTGAAGGTACCCTGAAGATGGCAGCCAGGATGAAGACGTAGGACAGAGAGATGAGCAGGAGTGGGGTCAGTGACAGGAAGGTTGTGGCCAACTTTAATGACAGCGCATTGAGAGAGATGTCACCACAAGCCAATTTCACCACGGCCAAAATCTCACAGAAGAAATGGTTAATGACGTTGTGGCCACAGAAGGGGAGGCGCCAGACCAAGATAGACTGTAGCAGTGAGTTGGCAAAAGCTACCCCCCAGCTCAGTCCTGCCATCCAGGTGCATCTCTGCCCACTCATGATCTCTGGATACCTAAGTGGCTGGCAGATAGCCACATAGCGGTCATATGCCATCACAGCCAGGAGCAGGCACTCGGTGGTGCCCAGAGCCAGGGTCAGGTACATCTGTAGGGCACAGCCAGGGAAGGAGATGGTCTTTTGGGTTTGCAGGAAGTTGACCAGCATGAGTGGCACAAAGGAAGATGTGCCTACTAAGTCCATGAAGGCGAGGTTGCTGAGGAAGAAGTACATGGGGCTGTGTAGCCGGGGGTCCAGCCAGTTCAGCCCTATGAGGAGGGAGTTCCCCATCAAATTCATGGAGTAGATGCCCAGGCAAAGCAGAAACAGGACTATCTCTACATTATGGTGCTGAGACAACCCCAGGAGGATATACTCCCTGAGGATTGTCTGGTTTCTCCCATCCGTCATTCTTCATCCATTGGCATCTGGACTGCACAGATGTTGGGAAAAGCTTAGGCTGGTGCAGCAGTCAATCAGCCTGCATGTGTGACCTGGGGCAGGTCGTCCCCATCTTTCAAATTTCGTTTTACCAATGTGTGAGGAGGGAGTTGGATTTCAGGGCTGTCTGGCCTTCTCAATCCTGCGGTTCTATTGACATGCTCTAGGACAGGATGCTGCATATTCCAGCGCCTTCGGCTTCTCTCCGTTCTCTCCAGGGGAACTTTAACGGAGACAACAGAATGAGTTTCCTGTTTGACATGCTCCTTTGGAATCTACAAAACTCTGGTCTGTTGTGGGGAACCATTTCCACCCCCCCCCCTCAGTTGTGACTTCAGATGGCAGAATCACACCCATCGTATTTCAGATTCCAGTAGTATTTCACTAGTCATTCACTGAATATTTTTTGAGAGCCTACTATGACCTAGATACAATATGGTTTAAAGTCTGGGACTACCAAAGAAGAAATATAAATACAAAAACAATTCCACTGTCCTAAGGGCTGCTCCCTCTTCCCTGATTTTGGTGAGATAAACTTTGGAAGGCAAGAGGGTGATAGGTGGTGCCTAGGTCTTTGGCTGTAAAGGTCAACTACTTCAGTGTCGTAGGATGAGTTGAGGGCTCCTGATGGTGCTGCTGTCTAGTAATCATTGGACTTCTCATTGCAAGGCAGGTGGTTTAAATCTGAGAACTGCCCCACAGGAGAAAGAGGAGGCTCCTGTAAAGACCTGCATCCTTGGGAACCCTATATAGGGCTGCTATGTGTTGGGATTGCCTTGGTAGCAAAGTGTAGAATACATAACCCTGTCTCCTGTTTTATTTGTTTGTTTTCCTTACGGAGTTCCAGACCACCAACTGCTATTTTTAAGGACATACAAAATCCCATAGAACTCCTGGTCACAGTGTATAACCCTGGTGTTCCCAAACCAAGTGACTCACTTCTTGGTCTCCACGCCACGTTGTAGGAGATGCCACGCCAAGAGCTTAACATCAGAGTCAAACCTAGCCGAAGTGTTGTTAGGCACTGGCTACCTTTATGGCTGGAGAAGTTGAATGAAAATCTGCCGCGTCCCCCCAGGTAGCCTCTCTTGCTCTTCTGGGCTGGTCCCACTGCCTCCTTGAGAAAAACCAGTGTCAGGGAATCACAAGAGGGAACCCAAGTGTCCCCAAGGCACAGCAATCCTGTTAGGAGAGGAAAGCTGTCTCATAGCTCTGGAGATCCCTGGTCTGAAGAAGAAACAGGAGTTGAGTATGAAGTTTTATCATTCAAAGGATACAACCCCCCACCTCTCCTCTCCCTTCCCTCCTGAATTGATGGAGACACCAGGTTCTGGAACAGTCTGGAGGCCCATGTGCCTGTTAGGTATTTCCCCTGCCCCCTCACTCCTTTTGCTTGATTGCATCTAGCATCTGTAGTGGTCAAAGGACTCGCCTTTCCTGAATGAAGCATATCTATTTCCAGTTCTACCTCTTTGCCCATAAAGTCTCCTTTCAGAGCCACGACTTCCCTCTCTCCTAGTGGAGATGCTCTGTCCTTCTTGAGGGCCCAGCTCCCTGTGGCCTCGGTTCCTCCCCTCCTGCCCTTACAGAGTTCTCTGCCTCCTCCTCGTGCTCGCTCATCCCTTTGCTCACCCCTCGGTGATGCTGCCCACTTTGAGAGCGAGACTCCATCTCCTCGTTTCTCGAAGTTCAGACCACAAGTCAATGGAAGCCAACCACACATATGGAATGCACAATTCAGAACTTCTCATCCAAACTTTAGCACAGTGTCTCCGCATGTGAGTGGCCCAGGCAGTACAACAGTACATGGGTATAGCTGTTCCAGATGGGAAGACTGCATCTGCAGCCAGAAGGCTCTTGGTGGTCTGTGCTGTCCATCTCATGGACAAGAAAGACAGTCTCTATCATGACCTCTTCCCTCCCCAGATCCTACACTGGTCGGCCCCCCCCCACCTGAATCTGGATCATTGCTAAGGAGCGGTGTCTGCAATAGTGGGGCAGTTGGTTAATTTGATTAACTAGCCTTTAAGCTCATCCGCATGGACTCTTCGAAGTGTGTTTGCTCTTGCTGAGGTTTTGTTGAGAAGACTCATGCAACCTCCTTCCCTTCTTCAATGAACAATTGTTTTGGAGCGCCTACTATGTGCTAGGCTCTGGGGAAGTGCCAAGAACACAGCCCAGACAGGAGGAACTTCTGCCCTTACTGGGGTTTTCAATTCGACACTCACTCTTGGTGGCTTTGACCTCTCCTCTCCTCTCCTCCTTCTCTAGAGACATTTGGGCTCCTTCTAAGATTAGCTGTCTTTGCACCTAAGAAAAGGTTAAACCGGAAATGAAGAAAGAAGCATGCCAGACATGGGGTGTGTTGGAGCATTACCCAAAAGACCCAAGTTGGTCTCAAATTCTGATTTGAGACACAATTATGGGGTGTTTTCAAGTAGGAAAAGCATGGGAAACCTCCTGACTATGCATTTTCCTTTCTCCCCTCTGGCTCCAATCCTAAGACCCGGGGGAATGGGGGTGGATCTCAGGTTTTGTGTGACCAGGCTGCAGCCTACTCTTCCACCAGAGCCATCTGCTCCCTGGGTCAGCCTGCCCACACCACACACAGCTCCTCTGTGTGGACAAACACCAATCACTCCTCGATCTTCTTCTCATGGCCTTTTCTCAGGCCTCCATGGCCCTTGTTCTCTCCTTGTCCTTTAAGGCTCAGCTCACACCCTGCCTTTCTTGTGCAGCTTCCCAGTGCCTCCCCGGAACTGACCACTCCGGCGACCGTTGATTCTAGTTTGCATTGTGCTGTAGCTCGTTCCTAAGACCGAGTGCTGCTGTTTTGCCAAATATCTTAGCTGGATAGCACACTCCCCTCCCCTTTTAACACGCACACATCAAAATCTTCACAAATTAGCATTCTGAGGCCCTAACAAAATCAGCCCGTGTCTAGAAATTACCATGCTGCCAGATATCTCCAGCTTGGACTCTGTGACCATGGGCACAGGTGGGGACATCAGGGAGCACCTACTATTTCCTTGCATTCAGTCGGGATGGGAGAGATTTGACTGTAGCAACATATGGCTCCATAGAGTCTTAACATGACAGGCTACATGTCTGCCCTGGTTTCTCTGGGCTTCTGCTCCGTGCTGTCTTCCTCAGAGTCCCTGCTGAGTGAGGCTGCGCAGACTGGAATGTCACCATCGGTACGGTGCGGGAAGGGCATGCCGGCGCAGCATCTTCTAACAGGAGTTAGATGCTCTGACCCACAAATGACACTTGTCATGGCTGCCCATCTCCGTGTGTGTGTGTGTGTGTGTGTGTAATTCTGCCTCATACCCAGAGGGGGGAGGTCCAGAACGATTGCTTAGCAGCATAAGTGTCCTCTCTAGCAGGGTGCCAAGCAGTGTCACAACATACTCAGAAAGCCAGCTGGCATCTCGCCACCCCAGCTGCACACTCTGTCATGTCCTGGAAAGTCAGATTCGTGGAGGGATAGGGCATCAAGTGTCTGAGAGCGATGCCACTCTCCCAGTTTTACACCTCTTAGAGGCAGGGTGATGCCATGGAATGAAGCCTGCGCACGGGGTGAGGGCACTCAGGTTTGATTCTAGTCTCTGACCCTATTCTGCTCGGTGACAGCGGTGAAGTCACTCCTTCGATGAAAATGAAGACATTCAACTGGATGGCATGAGGTCTTGGTAGGAATTTTGTCTGTTGTGAATGGTACCCAGGTTCAGTTCCTGGCTAATCCACTTTGGCCCCCACTGCCTGACTGCTTGTCAGTGGGATCTACATGATCTGCATGATGCTGGCGGTCTATCAGTGGATTTTCTAGTCCAAAATAGACTAGGAAGAAAGCCCTGACAATTTACTTCTGAGAATCAGGCAATGGGAATCCTGTGGATCACAGTGATCCACTTGGTCAGTGATCAGGAGCATGGCAAAGACAAGGCAGTGTTTCCTTTTGTTGTACACAGGGTGCTCTGTCACCCCCTGAAACGTTCCCTCATATTTCTCCAGAAACTTCTAACCCGGAGGCTGCTTTTCAAGAATAGTAGCAAACATCAGTCTCACCAGTGGTAAACCTAGTTTTAGCTATTCAACATTTAATTTATGTTTCACAGGTCAGTTTAACAGGAAGGGGGGCACATGGAGAAGAGAGCGTCTGTTATGTGTTCCCTGGGGGGCCTGAGCCTGGGACCCCTGCATCCCCACCTCCTCCATGTGAAGCAGGGTCATTGCCTGTGGCCTTTGGGTCCAAGGCCCAGCTCTGCCACTAGCTAGCAATTTCCTGAGCCTCAGATTCTTTCCTTACCTGTGATGTGGAGACGATAACGTGGTTTCTCTGTGGGGCTGTTTGGTGGTAAGCAGTGTTATCAGTGATCACTAATTGGCAGCAGTTATTATTTTTCATATGTCCTTTCTCCCAAGCAGAGATTCCGGGTTTTAAAAGCTTAAAGTAAGTTTCCTGAAGACAATCCACAGGGTGGATGCCTGCTTCGCACCTTCTCCCTGTTGGCCCAGCAGCTGAGTGCGTGCAGGTGGCCGGAGCTGGGGGCAGGTGGGCTGACCGGGAGGTTGGGAGAGCAGAGGGAGTGTGGGGCTCATCACCAGCAGGCCCCCAGGGCTGGGCAGGGCTGGGGCGGAGAGGCCCTGAGGACAGGTCCTTGTCCCCTGCCATGCTCTCAGCTCATGCTCTCAGGGAGCTCACGGTCCCTGTCCAATTTAAAGTTCAAACGCGGCAACTTCACAAAGTTCAGGGTTTGTCAGCTCTGGCTTCAGAGACTGCAGGTTTCTGGGCTCGTGGTTCAAAATAAGCCAATTATTTTTTATCGTCTTTTTCGTTATGTAGCTTTTACTTGCATATGAGGCAATTGGAAATATTATGGCTTGGCTTATGTCAGCAGTTCTCAACCTGGAGGCTGCGACCCCTTTGGGGGTTGAATGATCTTTTCCCAGGAGTTACCTAAGTCTAA